TGAAAATAAATTTTTTTGCGTTCTTGTTACAAAGAAAAGTACAGCCTATCTACCACTGATCCTGTTTCTTGGAAAATGTGAAGATCAGCCCAAGATTTACTGTTTATCTGATCAGTAGACAAAGACAGATTTTCTTTAAAAATTTTTGGAATTTCTAGGAAAAATCTTACAGGCCGATCTTATAAGGTCTTATAAGATTCGTATAGTAAGATTCCATAAGATTGCTATCAAACGAATCTTGTAAGATTTCCACTAGCGTCTGAGATTAAGAATCATGCAAAATCTTACAGTAAGAAATTCATGAGATTTTAAACGATTTTACAGTAAGAATCGTACGATATCTTATAATCTGTAAGATCTTGTATGATCTTAATACGATTATTTGTCCTGGGTATGTTTAGCAAAATGCGCCATCCACTCACATCCAACCTCGGAACTCGTTTAAGCTTTGCCAAATGCTCTTCCGCCTGCTTTTTATCATCGTTTTAGCGCAAACGTTCGTGGACCGCATAGTGCGTTTTCCAAAATACCTTGGTTCTGAGACATTTTTCGTTTAAAGAGGGTCCCTAGGAATTTTCTCAAAACGAATAAATGCTGAATTCGATTCCAGTGCTGAATTTTAAGCGTAATTTAGCTTTTTTTTCATCGACTTTTTATCAAATTGAAATTTATTTTATATACGAAAAGCTACCACTTTCTTTCCAAAATTCTGTCTCACCTGAGCCGTCCAATGAACCTCCTCCACTGGACGAAGTTAAAAAATTAACTCACATCGACACGACGAGTTAATGCCAACGAGTCTAAGGCGGAAGCAGCTACACTTATCTAAAAAAGAAAGAAATTAATCTAAAGAAAATAGATTTTTCTATTTGAATTTTCACATTTTATATACTTCTGCAGACGCAAAAAAAGCCGGTGAATATGTTATACATTCCCTCTAAGAAATCCCTAGAGAGTCACGCTGAATCACCAAAGACTTCATTATTTCTCCCCAGGGATTTTTCAGATCAAGCCTTTTAAAGGGAAGTACTGACAACTCCTTTCTTCGTTGTCGCGTGTTTTGTTGGTTATAAAATGAATCATTTCAGTTTAATTACTTTATTACTCATAGAGGTACTTACCACGAAGAGAATGACATTATCAGAGTTAGAGATAAGAGCGGATTTAGAAAGAGTGCGAATTCCCATTACTCTCTTAAAACATTCAGCCAAAGAAACCAGCTTTAGTTTCGACAAGTGAAGAACGATATCTATTTCTTAGTACGCTCTAGAGTAAAAAGACGTTTGACAACTAAGTAGCTTCTTTTCAGATATCTATTATGCTTTATTGTTTGTCATAAAAGAATAACCATCAAACTCTCTTTTATGACAAACAAAAAAGCATAATCAACAACTTTTTGCACAAACACTTTCTCATCACCGGTTAGAAGAGACAGCAGAAGCAGCAATAATATTTTCTCGCTCACAGCATTTGGCTGATATTGTTAATATTGTTCATTTCAAGATAGAAAAGATATTATATACGTCACTTTATATATTGACATTATCACATTACCAAGGTACGAAATACCAGCAAGTTTAGAAAGAATGCGAACACTCATTACTCTGTGAAAATATTTAGCAAAAGAAAATTTTAATATTAAAAAAGTGCGCCGTAGATAATTCAGCTACTGGAGTGGAAGCTGAACACAGTCGTCTGTTCATCGAATCTATACATAGCCATCATTGCAAATACAAAACTGGTGAGCATATATATCTGCATAGAGATTGAATAATAATCTTCTAATTGTTTTCAGCTACTATTACTAGTCTTTTCTAGCCCACAACTATATGGCACAAGACAATTGTGAGCGCACATTTCTATATCCGCCAGTAGCAGTACATGACAGTTGTTCTCAATCGTTTTTGACTGAGCCTAGTGCTCCACCACCGGTGAATGATATTGGCGGAGAAAATACTGAACCGAAAAAGACATTGTTAAATGTTGCACAGGAAAAAGTAACGACTGTTGTGCGTGCTGAAGCTCAAAAGCGAAACTTAGCCGAAGAAGTGATCTTGGGTCGGCTTTCACCGATTGATATATTGACTTTTGGGCGTTCGGGAGTCGGGAAGTCGTGTCTGCTGAAAGCAATCACCAAAGTCGATATACCCACCTCAGCTCAACTTGATCATTGTACCGAAACACTGACAGAAGTACCATTTGTCTGTGGCAAGTTAACCTTTCGTTTTTGGGACACGAAAGGTATTGATAAATGGTCAAGTTCAGATGATGTTGATAATTTATTGGATGAAATTAAATTAAAAGACATTAAACCATTATTTGTCATATATTGTGCGTGTGCTGCGAGCAGAGTCGATAGTGTCATGCTTACTACATTGTTGAAATCATTACAGAAGGATGGTATACCGGTCGCTTATGTGATAACGAATATGTACGCCCATACAAATGAACAGCTAAAAGGTCAACTATCAGGCGGTTTACAAATAATGAGTGAAATATTCTACAGTGAAACGGGCCCGGTACAAATAAATAAATTTCACTATGAATTCAACGATTTATACGATAATCAACAAAATCTAGTACGCGAGGGTAAAGGTTTATTGATTGCTGTTAATTCGGCACCATTTGAAAATGACCTTACACAAACCTATCTGCCTGTGAAACATATTTATGAACTTATGGATTTTGTTGCAAAAAATCTTCATGATAAAGATTTTGCAAAATTTGTTGCTTTAACATTAAATAATAGAGACTATTGGGATAGAGTTTCAGATGCAATCAAATCAAAATGTCACTCGATAAAAGACACGCTCAAACAGTGGGGTTTTAATCTATGGGAAATGTTAAAAAACCTCTACTCAAAACCAAAGGGCGAGGAGAAAATAGTGGAGTAGAAAAGGTACTTTTTTCCAATATGGTTAATACAGAAGCTCAAAAGCTAAGCTTATAAATTAATCATGGCTGTTGATAAAGTTGATATTTTGGAATCAACTTTGAAGTTCAAGTTCTCAGTTTTGGAAATCACCTGGATATATGATTAATACATTCTTCTAATATCAATTTAAGGATTACTTCATCGCGGACAGATTCATTTACAGTTATGTGTGTAACAAAATACGACCTTCTCCCTCTTGCCTTCTTATTAGATCACATTCGATTCATATTCTATCTATATTTCGCTTCTCCGTCAGTCATATATTATCACTCTTTTATTATTTAATCTATCTTTCGTTCTCTCTTTGTTCAATGCACTATCTGTACATATTGTATAGCACATACTTTTCAGTCTATTGTATAATTTCGCTAGGTCGATACTTTGTGATTTCCGCTTGTTTATAGCAAGCTTTGAAGATTCATAATTTTTATGTGCCATCAACTGTTTCGAGAATAAACTCAACGGTATTAAAGTTAAATCGGAACAGGTCGGAAACTCGCATTTCTTGCAGAAGAAGTCTCATTATTGAGTGTGAGCCTATGAAACAGGCGGAGACAGGACTGTCTGCAATTATACTATATACTTCTGAAAAACTCAAGCTATGCTACCGATTTACAGGGGAAAAAAATTAGCGTTACTGGGTCCTCAAACCACAAATATCGAAATTCGGCATTCCATGATGTAGATATTTCCAAAAGTCGATTTATGTTAACCCTAATATAGCGTTTTCTGGCTTCGTCAGTTTCCGTTCTCCAGATGTCGCCACAATAAGGACCAAAATGAGGGGTTGTTCTCTCGATAATGTACCACATTTACATTTACTTTATCCCAACATAATAGTTCGAAAGTAATAGGCCTAGTACAACAGAACAAATCTTTTCTTGGCATTTTCATTATTTTAAGCGAAACACCTTCATGAACTGGTACCGTCAGATTAGAATCTATATGTGCAGCGCTGCAAAATCTTTAACGGACAAGTTCCAAAATGTTAAGTACGCTCTCAGAAGAGTTTTTAAAGTAGGCCTTTTTTTAAACCATATCAGCCGCATCCGGACGTGAGATGACATATGTTTCACATGTGCTCGATGTGGGCTATTAGAAAAACAGGTTTTTGCTTTTACCCAAGTACATTCAGAGAAAAGTGTTTTTCTAGCAAAAAATAGCACAGGATTTTCGTCTGTTTCAAAAGCGCCTGCGCCAAGGCAAAAGCCTGTTTTCCTAATAGCCCACGTCGAGCACATGCGAAACATATGTCATGGATTAATCCGTACGCAGCATGAATTCTAATTCTACCTACTTTCTTTACCCATAGTCACCGGAGTAATCAAACTACTCTGCACAAAGGACAGAGCACTCGGTCGATCTACCTATGCCATTGGCATATTGGGGGATCTAGTACTCTATTTGTGTGGGTATTTTATCACTAACTTTTCTGAAACCGTTGAGATTAATAACCATCTATAGATGATCAAGGTCAGTATACTATCAGTATACTGATAGAAACAATAACTTTTAAAGACGATTTTCCTGCTTGTGCAAACTTTGAGTGCGTGCTGCACCATTCCACGGTATTGCAG